CACTCTATATAGAACTATTTTCTACAGAAATATATAACAGTAGAATGACGTTCATGGCTTAATCTTAGGGGAGTTTTTCTGTTGTTGTGTCTTTGCGGGAGACTATCTATAAATCTTCATTATTATAACATCAGAAAGAAATTCACAAATGTTAAGAACAAGATGTTATTTCTTTATTTGCTAACAAAAGAATCGACTTAGTTTCACATTATTGACTGTCAGGCTAACATTCTTAGTTTTGTTGTTACTATCACAATGTTTCATTTTGTTATGCCCTCTGGTTTTGTTCATCTTTCGATATACGTAACCTTCAGGGAATTTTGAACTTAACTCTTTATTTAACCAACAGGGGTAGATTGTTTTTGTTCCACTGTTCATGTCTAGGGATATCTTGTTTTTTCTTTAGCACTATTCAGTTAATAGTGGCTTGGTAATTGTGAATTCAATCATATATGAGAGTGACTGTTCTAATTGCTATAAAATATCAATTATAAAAAACTTAAATCATGCAAAAAATTAATTCATCCACAAAACAGATTTTCTACAGTGAACTAAAAAATATAAAATAAACTCTTATTAATAATAACCTCCCTAATTATATTGTTGATGAACAAATAAGATGTATTATAAATTTTAATACAAAGCATATAGAATATAATACTGATGAATATGTATCAACACAGTAATTTTTTCTCTTTCTTTAATAAGGATACTAAGAAGCTTGTCTGTGAACATGAAAGGATCCTATTGAAAATAAGTAGACAAAATTTGTCTAAGTTATTCAATGAGACACACACATACACACATATATATATATATATATATAGGAATGGGTAGGATAAAACAAGTACGTACATGCACAAATATTTGCATGTATTTAAGTATTATTCCTTACTTTTCCTCCACCCTTCAACTCCTCTCCCACAGTTGGGATGTGGCAAGCCTCACACTGCTCTTCTGCTATTTCCATGGAAAGTGCTCAGACGAACTACATTTCCCTGGTCCTGTCAAGGCAAACCATCACAGCAAGAACATGCCATACCACTTACATAGTAGCAAACCACCCACATTCTCTCCATATTCCATCAGTGGGAAGTAAGTTCCACTTGAGTAGCTTCTTCCCTTGAACTAAAATTCTTTTTCTTATATTCTGTCATACTCTGTACCCCCCCTGCGTCTTAGTGGCTTTGTTACCTTGCTTGGCATGAATTGGTTATATACAGGGTGTGATGGACAAATTGTCATCTAAATTATGTAAAAATGAAAATAGTACTGACATGTCATTTTAACAGATATATTTACCAAAATTATACAAAAATATCTTGAAATACTAAAGAATAAATTTATTTAATAAAATCTCCATTGTCTTCAACCATGGTCTCCAGATGACTTTGGAATTTCTTGCAACTTTTCTGGATGTTTAAGTTCGTGAATGCTGTCATGATCGTTGCCTTCAGTTCATCTTTACTGTTACAAGGAGTTTTGTTGGTCTCTCACTCAACTGTGCCCCATGCATAACCAAGGCGGTTGCAGTCTGGGGAGTTAGGTGGCCAGATATAAGGTGTGATGTTGCCACAGAAATTGTCTGACAGCCCTGACTGCATTATCCTGCTTGTGGGGCATGGTGCAGAGTCCTGTTGCCTGACATAGGGTCTTCCAGCAGCCAGCCTGTTGACCCAGGGCAGCACTACCTCCTCAAGTCACTTGATGTAGGCTGCCATGTTAAGTTTGAGGCTCTCACCAACAAATTCAGGAATTCTTATCAGAATGATCAGAGTTAGTTTTCCAAGCTGCCATACATTGGTAATCACCATTAGATTCATCCAACTCTTTCCAAATCCTTTGCACTGAGTGACACCCAAACACTTTAAAATGTTTATATTTGAGCTTCTGACATGAATGCCAATCAGTACAGCATGCCGTTTCCAAATTTCTGTCAGAGTGAATTGCATCATGGTGCTCTTTTTCTCCCAGACAGTGCCCAATTGACCCTACTATACTGTGCAGTCGACAAAATCAAAAATGGTGTGCATGCACAAAAATAAAAAAATGAAATTGTGACAGTTTACCCATCACACCCTGTATATATATATATATATATAATTATTTTACCCCAAGCTATATATATATATATATATATATATATATATATATATATACCATGAGAAAGAGAAACAGATGGTGTGTGTGCGTGTATATATATATATATATATATATATATCATAAGAAGAAAAGAACAGACTGTGTGTGTGTGTATATATATATATATATATATATATATATATATATATATATATATGCACTTTTCATTAAAAACAACAGACAAGGTACTACAATTAAGCTTTTCATTTAATTTTTCTTGAGTTTGAACAAGTGTTTTCTTTTTGGGACACAGAGTGTGTGGAAACTGTCCGAATGTTCTGTAATTCCAAGCACTTTCAGTTATACTTTTAGCCATTCTCAAGGATGATTTTGTTTATTTATTTTTGATATAATTAGGTGTGTGTGTTTTGTGTATATTTTTAGCGTTATAGAGATGTTTTATTTTCCAAACACAGCAAATTGTGGCCTTGTTCGTAGTTAATATTATTAAGTGTTGGCTTTTTCTTTTTTATTATTAAGGCTTTTATTATTTTTAATCTTTTTTTTCATGGGGATGAGGTTATTATGTTTGTATTTGCAACTAGTATGTTTCAGATGGAGTCTGGTAAGTTTGTGTGTGTGTTTAAATGGATTCTAATAGAGCTGTGGTCAGATAGGTGTATCATAAGGTGTCTGGATAGGCATGTAGTCATGTGACCAATGTAATTATTTATGAATTTGGTTTGATCAAGAACAAAGTTCCTTAAGGGTATTTGAACTCATAGATAATGTTTGTTGTAATTTTGACTTTGAAGGTGTGTTGTTATATTTGAGGATAAGATTAGCTGTTTTAAATTTTTTGTAGTAGGTAATTACTTTGATTTTTTTTTTTTAATTCCACTAAACCAAACCAAGGGGTCATAGCGTCATTTGACGTCAAAAACTTATTTACAAACATGTGGGTTTGTTAAGGGCACTGAAACAAGTCACATGATATTCATGCTCAGAATGTTATTAGAAAGAGCAATACAAATGCAGAAGGACGTGCACCTGTGTTTAATAGACTACGTAAGGCATTCAACAAAGTACACCACAAAGATCTGTTGGAACTGCTAGGTAACCTTGACATATTTGGGAAAGATATTAGAATGATCAAGAACCTATACTCGCAGCAAACAGCCTGCATATGGATAGAACTACAAGGGATAGGAAGAAGTGGAGAGCCATGATCACTTACGTCCTGAAGGGACACAGCACATAAAAGAAAGAAGACTTTTCTAAGCTGGAAGGCTGTAAAGTGAAGCAATTACTGTTAATTTATGCAGTAAAATTTTTTTGAGAATTCTCAAACACAAAAAATGTCTTTTTGCTTGAGATTTTCCCTATGATTTATCTCTTTTAAATCCTGCACACTTGAACAGTGGAAGAAGGATGGAGTCATTGCCTCAACACACTCGGCATTGCTGCTGTGGTTTTCATAAGTCGTTTCTCTTGGGAAGGGATTGATAGCCTCATGAGCAACCAATTTTGAATTCAGAGTTGTCCTTCTCCTAAACTGGTTGCTAAGCAAGGCTGAATATCCCATTCTGCCCCTGCTATTTATATTTAACCCATTACTGGGGAAGATGAGATGGATTTTGAAAGGACAGGGTTAGGTCTAGGGTAGGTTAACAGGATGTTTTGAGTTTCTCTAAAAAGCTGTAGGAGAGAAAAATGCATTTGGCTGAGCATTTAGACGTACTGTCATATTTGAGCCGTTCCTCATTAACTATGGCAGGAGATGAACCTTGACCTTTGACTTACGGTGGCAGGAGGTGGGACCCTGTACTAATGTAGGTCTTTTGTGAAAGTGCAGTGACATAAAGCAGGTGGGATTGAAGGGATGTGTATACCATATATACTTGCATATCATGCAACTTCTGAAGACCTAATTTTGAAGCTAATTTTAAGGGGGTGGCATCATATATGAGTTATTGTTGTAGCATACCTACAGATGATAATGGTTATGTTCCCATTTACATAAATACAGTAGTAAACACTTTATGTTGGTCTGCAGTTGGAGATTCATTGTAGAATTCACTTGACTCACTTCTAGCAGTTGACTACTTCTACGTGCCACTGGCGAATCTTATATGTGTTGTTCTTGACCTAAGTATTATCTTTCATTACCAACCTTCATGTGTTTATTCTATTCAGTAACCTTCCCTAGGTTACAACAGATATAAAATTAGCATATGTACTGCTGGCCCCAGTTATGCTGTTGTCTATACTATATATCCATTTACAGAAGTCAAATTAGCTTTAAAATTAAATCTTCAAAGGTCGCATGATATGTGAGTATATATGGTATGTAATTAACAGGTTTTAATTTTTCTTTTGTTTTCTGTAGCTGTAGACTCACCTGTTGGGTTTTAGCAACCTGGTCTCACCATGAGTAATTATTTAATAATCTCACAATGAAAAGATTCATTACCGTAACATTAGACATGTGGAGTGCCATGTTAGGAAAACAATGGCATTAAATTATTAAAAGAACAAACAAACAATTTAATGATAACTGGAGGTAGGCTGAGAACAATTTAAAGTGAATAAGCTTCCTTTCTTTTACTATCTCATGTAAATGTTAATTCCTCTTTCCTACCGTATAGAATTTAATATACAAACTTTGACTAATAGTGGATAATTGAATGACAAAATATGAAAAGGTAAACAGAGGAAATAATTTAAGGCGAAAATGTGTGGAAAATGCACTAATTTCTGAGTTTTCCATGATAAATTTACATCCAGGCTTATACATTATATCACCATTTCTAACAAAGCTACTGCCATTACAATATGGGATATCTACTTCTTGGAAGTAAGGCTCTTGTGATTTCTAAAGAAATTTAATTTTCTACAAACAATAGTGATAAAAACAGTCTGTTCATATCTATCTGTCTATCTTTCTCAGTCTGTTTGTATCTATCTGTCTATCTGTCTCAGTCTGTTCATATCTATCTGTCTCAGTCTGTTCATATCTATCTGTCTATCTGTCTCAGTCTGTTCATATCTATCTGTCTATCTGTCTCAGTCTGTTTGTATCTATCTGTCTCAGTCTGTTTGTATCTATCTGTCTCAGTCTGTTTGTATCTATCTGTCTCAGTCTGTTCGTATCTATCTGTCTCAGTCTGTTCGTATCTATCTGTCTCAGTCTGTTCGTATCTATCTGTCTCAGTCTGTTAAATATCTATCTGTTCAGTCTGTTCTATCTCTCTCATCTGTTCAGTCTGTTCATATCTATCTGTCTCAGTCTGTTCATATCGATCTGTCTATCTGTCTCAGTCTGTTCATATCTATCTGTCTATCTGTCTCAGTCTGTTTGTATCTATCTGTCTATCTGTCTCAGTCTGTTTGTATCTATCTGTCTATCTGTCTCAGTCTGTTTGTATCTATCTGTCTATCTGTCTCAGTCTGTTCATATCTATCTGTCTATCTGTCTCAGTCTGTTTGTATCTATCTGTCTATCTGTCTCAGTCTGTTTGTATCTATCTGTCTATCTGTCTCAGTCTGTTTGTATCTATCTGTCTATCTGTCTCAGTCTGTTTGTATCTATCTGTCTATCTGTCTCAGTCTGTTCATATCTATCTGTCTATCTGTCTCAGTCTGTTCATATCTATCTGTCTAAGTCTGTTTGTATCTATCTGTCTCAGTCTGTTCATATCTATCTGTCTATCTGTCTCAGTCTGTTCATATCTATCTGTCTATCTGTCTCAGTCTGTTTGTATCTATCTTGTTCTGTTCATATCTAATTTCCATGTTTTCCATGCTGAATTCACATCAAAGCTCATTCAGCATATCACTATTCCTAACAAAACTAGAAAGCTGAATGCGTCGGGCTAGATTATGCATCTAGATACATCAGATATCAGAAATTTGAAGTTAAATGTCCCTGTATTGTCAGTGTTTTCTCTCTGTTTGTAACTAAATGTTGTTGCATTTTGTTCCCATCCCTATACTTATTCATGATTCCATTGATAAAAACATTTAGTCTGAAGACGTCCTTTCAAAGAACAAAACATGCAACATGTGTTTTTTTCTATTTTGTCATGATGTGTGTGTGTGTGTGTGTGTGTGTAAAATTTAAGATATAACTAAAAAGATGTCTGTAAAAGGACAATACAAATAAAGATAAAAGGAAAAACTTAGCCAAAGTGTTTCATCCTCTGATAGACTTTATCAAAGTGACTGTGAGGATTTTATTTTGCAACAAATATTTATAAAAAGAAGTAAAAAATATCGTCAGGTTTTCAGAATTTTTTAACTTAAGAATACTCATAAATATTCTTTAGGCTAACTGTGAAAGTTGAGGTAAACAATGGAGAATGCTAAATTTTGTTCCTATTGTCTTTATTCATATCTCTCTATCTATCTATATATATATATATATATATATATATATATATGGGGAAAATTGTGAAAATGGCCTACCTCGGAAACGCGTTCAATCTGCGCAGTATATAAACTCTGGTCCTTCCAACTGTAAAAAAGAAACCAAAATGGCGGCGCCCGCGTTTTATGCCGGCGGTCTCGGTCAGTTAACGTGAAATCTTGTTGCCTCGTGATTAGCATGCAAATCGTGGTCGGGTCCGCAGCTGTATAAAAGCAGGCTCGTTTCTGCTGTTTCAAATCAGAACGCTTTCGCTCGTGAGAAGGTTGGACGTGCAACACGGTTTTCTTTGTGCCTATCTATCATCAGTTGAATTGTTGGAGTTACACACCACAAGCTATTTCGACAATGGACAAGTTCGATCTAAAGTTGATCCCAGAATTGAACGGCTCCCCACAGGGCCCGACTCTCGTCCGAATGGTTTGAAAAGGCCGAACGTGTTTGCAGGGTGTCCAAAAATAAAGGAACCTGCACTAGTCATCCCACTGAGACTCACGGGAGGAGCCTCACGCAGTATATCAACAACTTCGGGGGCGATGCTGACCTAGAAGAGACTGGCGACCTGTATACGGCCTTTGGAATAGATCCATTCATCGCTTGGAAACAGTTCGGGTCGGATGACGGCTCGAGCGGGTGAGACCGTGGATGTTTACCTGGCTGATTTCTTGTTGGCTGGCAGTACCGCTTACGGAGCAACGGACCGCATACTGGGGTGCGCCTTCCTGGCAGGGCTTCCCGACGACACCAGTCGGCTCCTCGCGGCGTCTTCAAGATTGGACACACTGGGAATTGACGAATTGCTAGCCAGGGCCCAAAACATCTTGAAGGACACGGAACAGATCGCGGCAGCCGTGAGAACGCCTGAGACACTGAGGGAGGCCGAAAGTGCTGCGCGGTGGACCCAACCATTTCTCTAGGGACTGCCGGAGCCAAGTGACTTAGGAGGGAGCAGCAGACGGAACCCGAGCATTCCACTACGCTGCTATCGCTGCAAAAGAGTTAGGCCATGTAGCACAGGATTGTTTCGAAGCGAGTCCGGGACAAGGTGCTGTCGCAACCCTTGCCCCTTCTCGGTCAGTAAATGCGCATTGCCTGTTGTCAACGTGGCACGCTGAGGGTAAACGATGTTCGGCGGCTTCGTTGACACTGGATATTCCCGATCGACGTTGATGCGGATCGATGCGTGACATGGAACAGTTAACAAGTGAGATTGGACGATTGATGGGTGTCCCGGCCTGTTGTGGTGTCGGACTGTGTCCGCTAACAGACGGAGGAGTCATGCCAAAGTCGGCGTCTTGGTGGCACGTCAAGGCCCCTCGGCACGACCTGCTACTTGGGATTGATGCGATCCGGGCGTTAGGAGGCATGATGATCACGCCAGCGGAAACTGGGTGAAAGAAGAAGGTGTGTGCAGCCCGCTGCGTTAGTGAGAGCCGGATTGACGCCCTTCAATTCCAACGAGAGAGTGTGGACCGCCAGGTGGAAATGGGGCCAAAAAAGACCCGCCAGTTCAGCTTCGCAAGGTCGCTGAGTACAAAGTTCCAGACAGCATCAGAGGAAAAATACGAAAAGAGCTTCAGCAGTGGATTGTGAACGCTGGCTGATTCCGCACTTTCAGGAAAGACTGGGACCCCCAAAGGGTCTGATTCCCTTGATGGCAGTCGCAGAAACAGAAGGTGCGTCCGCACTGCTGGAAACCGCTAATTGAACGACTTTTTGTGGATGCTTTCACTGCCGATGCAGAAGTGCGCGCACATAAGTTGAGAACGGGGCGGCGCAGGGAGTCAATGTGTCGCTTCTGGATCTGCGGAACGCATATCTTCAGATTCACATCGACGAAGCGCCAGGCCATTTCAAACGGTTATTTTCAAAGGCCAACGCTTCTGTCTTACGCAGCTAGGATTTGGTATAAATGTAGCGCCACTCATCATGAAATCCGTTATAGACGCCATCGCATCGCAAGACTGCACAATTGAAAGTGCCACATCAGCATCGTTGATGATATCTTCATTAATGAAAGTTTGGCCTCTGCATCGCGTGTAAGACAACACTTTTTCGGATTACGGTTTGGTGTGCAAGGATCCGGTGCGACTGAGAGATGGAGCAAGAGTTCTTGGCTTGCAGGTCTGGGAAGAAAATGGCACCCTCCGATGGAAACAAGGAAGTCAAATTCGGAAGCCCCTGATGTGTTGACCCGGACGTATTTTTTCGTTGTGGGAAACTTGTTGGACACTTCCCAGTGTGGATGGCTCAGGGTGGCAGTTGCATTAAATCAAGCGCCTGGCAAACCGCGAAAAACCAATGGATGGGATGATAACATCAAAGATCCCTCTCTGTCGATACTAGCAGAGATGTTAAGTAGAGTCTTGGAACTGGATCCCGTCGGAGGAGACTGGTGCATGAGTGGTGACGGATCACAGTCTGGGTGGATGCGAGTTCCGTGGCGACAGGGAGTGGCATTGAAGTAAACGGAAATGTCATCGAAGATGCGTGCTGGCTGCGTCCGACTAATGATGCCAGGCACATTAATTTGGCTGAACTCGGCGCGGCGAAAGGAGTGAATCTGGCTCTCCAGTGGAGGCGACAACGCTGCACTTGGTCACTGATTCGGGCGCGTGTGCACCGGTGGATTTCAGACACCTTGACCGGAAGGCACGGTGAACACAAGGGCGGTTGGTGAGATGCTGGTCAGGCGATCGCCGGGCATTTTGGCATCGCTGGTGGACGAATATGGATTGACCGTAGACGGGACTCTCGTGGGTAGTCCTGTCAGAACTGCGCAGATCGCTTCACCAGAGTACCGCACAGGTGGCTAGAACTGCTCAAGAGAGGAGAACCGCACTCGAGAGCTGTGCAGTGGCAGGGAGACGACTGATGAGGACCAGGTTGCCAATACGCATCGCCAATGCGGACATCCGGGCGTGAAACGAACTCTGTACTTCGCCAGGTTAGTCGACCGCAGGTGTCCAGAGAAAGCGCAAATCTGTTGTGAAGGCCTGCACAACCTGTCAGTCGACCGATCCGCACCCGCTCACTGGAAAAGAGGAGAACTGAGCGTGAAGAGCAACTGAGCAGACTGGCAATGGACATAACTCACTACAATGGTGAGAATTTTTAACACTCATTGATTGCGGTCCCTCTAGGGTTTGCGGTATGGCGGCACGCGCGCAGACAAGACGCCGAGCACCGTCTATTCGACTGTTGGAGAATGTTTTCCTGGAGCGAGGCCCACCGCGGTGGAAATACTGACGGATAACGATACCGCGCTCACCAGTAAAGATTTTAAAGAATTTGGCGGACACTTGGGACGCATCTGCGGTTTTCGATGTGCCTACCGCCAAGTGGAAACGGCATCGGGGGAGCGGGAACCACAGAACCATCAAGACCATCGCAGCCAGGAAGGGCTGTACAGTATCGGAGCGGTTTACTGGTATAATGTTGCCCCGGCGATAACATTTCACCATCCACGGCGCCGCTGATGCACTGCACAAATATCATGTCCGCGTGAAAGGCATCGGGCCAACCCGCTGCCTGAACTAGAAGTGACTGGAGGGGAGATTGAAAAAGGAGACATCGTTTGGGTCAAAACCCACGCTGCAAGTGTATGACGACGGCACGGCACTGGACGTATACGAGGTTATCAGCCCGCAATCTGTGAGAGTTGATGGGGTGCCTCGTCACATTAAAGACTTTTCGCGACCGGTGACGCAATCACTACCGCCACCGAGCGGCGAAAGCGATTCGAGTCTGGGAGTAGTGAGCGTTCAATCTGCCTTGAGTTAGACCTGCAGGGCAGCGATTCTGATAACAGCAGCCTCCGGGCGGATGCAGTGTTTACCGACACTCAAACCACAGACGAGAACACGCACGAGGATGAAGCTTGTGTTATCCCCTTCGGAGAGGGACTCGACGGCGATTATCACCACCTCCCTGCCTGTTTTGTGATCATGAGATCAGGGGGAGTGTGGGGAAAATTGTGAAAATGGCCTACCTTGGAAACGCTGTTCGAATCTGGCGGTATGTATGTATGTATTCTGGTCCTTCCAACTGTAAAAAAGAAAAACCAAAATGGCGGGCGCCTGGCTTTTTATGCCGAGCGGTCTCGGTCAGTTAACGAAAATCTGCTGCCTCGTGATTCGCATGCAAATCGTGGTCGGTCCGCAGCTGTATAAAACAGGCTCGTTTCTGCTGTTTCAAATCAGAACGCTTTCGCTCGTGAGAAGGTTGGACGGCATTAACGGGTTTTCTTTGTGCCTACCTGCTATCATCAGTTGAATTGTTGAGTTACACACCACAATATATAATTTAAAAATTATAACATAAATGTTATAAAATCACTACAAAAATAGTTACCTCTGATGTCTTATCACGTGATGATGTTGAATGTTACATGTTACTTGTATTTGCTCTATTGAGCACTCTTTTAAGAATAGTAATTGTTGGTTATTGGAATTTATTCCGTATACATCAATCATATACTATATATATATATATATATATATATATATATATAGTTTATGCAAAACTAGGTAATCCGTATGGGTAGACCCAAGGAGGATGATATCCAGAGAGCTCAATGTAAATTCAGAGCAAATAAATTTGAATAAAAACAGACCACTTTAAGGTTCCATGTAATAAATTATTTCATTTTTCATTTCACACTTCCTCACTTCGTTGATTTACATATGCTTAATACGGCCCATCAAAAATGTGTAAATTTCTTTTCATTTTTTATTTCAACCTTTGGAAGTAAAGTCTGATGATCCAGAGCACTTTAAAAGGGCTGTGGTGAAATAATTTATTCATGGAACCTTAAAGTGGTCTGTTTTTATTCAAAGATATATATATATATTTCTTATTACTATAAATATTAATGGGTACACATGTTTGAGTTGACATCCCTGTTTGTTTACAAACAGTAAATTAACATCTACCTGTTTAGGTTATCAAAGACCTCATTGAAGAAAATGCCTCTTGAAAGGAATCAAGCATGCATTTCTTTTTTCTCTTGGAAATCATCTTAGCTAGGCATGTCATTTCCATTTGAGCCACAGAGATTCCTTCCAATAAGGCATGGCAAAATTGCCCTCTTTAAGCATCTACTATTGGGACACTTCAATGTTTATATATGCTCATAAATTTTCATATTCAGCAGAAATTTTAAGTAATTAATTTTAAAGCAAAAACCATTAATTACTTATTTTTTAAATTAATTCACCCTAAGCAAGGTGATAATGCCACTAAGATGGAAGGTACTACTGGGAGCGAAAGAAAATGAAAAGATTTTAGAAGGAACTAGAAACCCAATCATAAACAGGAAACAAAGAATAAACCTCTACTTCTGTTCAGTAGACCAGGAAGGAGTGTGAACCGAGCGATAGGCAAACCTATCTACTCCTATATTGTTTTATTCAATTCACATCAAGCAAGGCAATAATGCTACTAAGATGTAAGGGGCTACTGGGAGAGAAAAGAGAATGAAAAGATTTAGAAAGAAACCAAAAACCAAATTCTAAACAGGAAACAAAGTATAAACCTCTACTCCTGGTCAATAGACCATAGAGGTGTATGAACTGGATGATAGGCAAACCTATGTACTTCTGTTGAGAAAAAAAAAAAAAAATCTTACTTATTATAAAATGCAGATTGTGTGTGTTTGTCTGTACGTTTATATATTGGATAGGATTTCCTTCATTTTTCAACTGATTTCAACAAAACTTCACAGGACTATGTAAAATTACCTTGCGGTGGTTCTGACAGTGCCAAAAATGGGAAAAACACAATTGTTTTTGCACAAAATCAATTTGAAAACACGATTAAGTCGCCAGAATGAAAGGGGGACAACTCATATCAAGTTATACTTATTATAAAACCCATGTTGTTTGTGTGTGTGTGTTTGTTTATATATGGGATCGGATTTCCTACATTTTTCAAAACTTCACTTTTTTTGGCAGGTAGTGTTTCTTATTGTCTTGCACACTTTTTTCTTTATTTTTACATTCAGAATGCTTTAAAAATTCCATTTACAAGACAATTGTTTATAATAAAATTCTATTCAATCGATAGACTCATAATGATTGAAAACAATGTTTTTGTTTGGGTTTGACCAATTCGTAAAAAAACAAAAAAAAAACTAATTAGGACATGCGTGTCTGTCAACCTTAAACAATAATCTTTGTCAATTTTATTTTTCAGTCTTTATTATGTTCGATACTTGATCTATCTCTTACTGTTATATCGCCGGGCTCTATTGCTAGTAATAAATAAAATTTCAGAGTTTTGCTGGAGACATTAAGAGTATAAAGTTGAAGTAGACTTTAGAAGGAACTGGAAACTCAGTTCTAAACAGGAAGCAAGGGATAAATCTTTACTCCTGTTTAAAAGACCAGGGAGGAGTGTGAATCGGGCAATAGGTAAACCTATCTATTCCTGTTTTATATTAAGATACATTGAAAAGTCTTATTAACCTTTCATTAATTTTATTTTGCCAGATTGATTTTTTTTACATTTTGGTTAATTTGGCATGGAATACAGATAGAAGTCGGGCTCAAAGTGTCGTAGCTTGATTTTTATTTTTGAATTCTTACAATTCAGCACCAGAAAATATTCAACCTTTATTTCAAGACTTTAAAAGGTATGAAAGAACAAAGAAAATAACACGTTTATCACAAGGTACCAATAATAATGTAAAGAATTTTTTAGCCTTTAGCATTATAGATAAAAATACAAGGGCGTCTTTTTTATAAAAGACTGTTTAACAAGCTAGTATTACAGATGATGACTATTATACTAAGTTTAATTCTCAGTGTGTGCCTATAATTGTACTTGGGACTTTCTTTAAATTTTTTTTAAGTGCCATGTCTCTTCTGGATGTAGGCAATCATGATTCGCCACAACTTCGTTTTCTTTATTATCTGTGACTTACCATGTCTTTTTGTGGAAAAAGTGGTTTTCTGTGCCTTCTCCATGGTTTGAATTCAGAGATTTACTTCTTTTCAAGTGGTTGTCAGCCAAGCCTATAGAGCCCAGCTATTATTGTTATTTAGCCCGTAACTGGAGGAAGAAGAGATTGATTTATGTTTTTCCAAAGGGCTTTAGTGTGAAAGTGAATGCAACAGCCTAGCCCAGAATTTGACCCCTGCTTGCTGATTCCATTACTAAAACACCAGCAAAAGGTGGGTGAAAGTTGTGAGCCTGATTTGCATGAACAGCATTAGCATTGATTTCCATTTTAGTTTCCATTCAACACAACAGGGCAGTTTCCTAACAGACCCCTCCCCTGGTTAAGCTAGACTCTTTTTGTTCTTCTAGTTAATATGAGTTCTTGGGTATTCTCTTTTGTTATGGTTTGTGTCAAGATTTCCAATCTCCCTCATTAGTTTTTATCTCCTTTTTATCTTGAATGATTTTTTTCCCACTCCACAATTTATTTTTCCTTTCTCTCACCTTTAGTGAGTGAACTGCTTGATTTTGCATGTCTGGCAGAATAAAGCAGATACTCTTATTTTTCTGTGGGGGTGGATGGGTCCAACTACCTTATTTTTGTTTTGATTGTTTGTTTTTTTATTAGGATCACCTCTCTCTCCTCATTTCATGATACATAAGTTTTATATTTTTGTTAAAAAAAAAAAAAGAACAAACAGAAAAATCATAAAATAAAAATTGTAAATATCCATAAATGTTTACATCATGGAGTTTTAGTAGGTTCACCTGTGAGTATGTGGTATTTTGGTAATTGTAGGATTGGGTGAAGAGGGATGTGTTCTTGTGGTGAATGAGAAAATTGCAACAAATGAATTGGTTGCAAATCAGATTAGCTAAATTTAGGATAGTCAGTGACAACCAGTCTCACCCCACCTCCTCTTTGACTTTGTGCCTAAATTGTATGGAAAAATACAATAATTATACACACATCCTTGGGACAAACTAAATTGAATAAATGTCTTTAAAGAATAAAAAACGTTGTTTGTACACAACTTATATTATTTCTTTTTAATTTTCAGATTTTACAAGCAATGGGAAAAGCATATCACCCTGGCTGCTTTCGTTGTTGTGAATGTAATGAATGCTTGGATGGGGTTCCATTCACGATTGATGTAGACAACAAAATATACTGTGTGGCAGACTATCATAGGTGAGTACAATGCGTGTTTTCACTTTTTATTTATTTCTGTGATAATATTCTGGCTAGAAATAACATGGGAGATTTCCAATAATTAAAAAGCAAATACATGTCTTTTTGTCTCAAATGCTGAATATTGTTATGAAGTATATTCCAAAAGATTTGTGTTCAATGTTCTTCATAAAAGCAATAGCAGAAAGAATACATTTGTCTTATTTTTAATTTAGTCTTTGACAAATACTTCTTTTAATAAAATTTTTACATTTATTATTATGTTGCATTCTACGCTAACAGTTTCTGCTATTGCATGCATCGCTTATGGAACTCTCTTCCAGCTTTTTGTTTCTCAGTCAACTTTGATTTTCAAAAATTTAAAAGTAAAATGGTTATCTTCTGTCTTAATTCTTGTTTTTTTATTGTTCTTTCTTCTTAATAATATTTTTTTCTTATATTTTCTAACACTCAGCAATCTCTTGCATCTTAGTGGCTTTATTGCCTTGCTTAGAGTGAAATGATTAAACAAAAAAATATATATAAATATATTAATTTATTGCTTAAATGTTATTTTTAATGGATACCCATATTTAGGTAGATGATCTGTTTTTATTTATTGATTAAACAATATATTTATTTATTTACATCTACCAGCCTGAATATTTGAGAAATCTTATTAGAAAAATATGTGCTTTTCACCAGATGTGTATATTGAGAAAACTCTGTGTTCAGGTTTGACCAGGAGGTTCTTCCTGGCTGAGAGGTCAAGGCACATCAGATCTTAATGACAGTTTTCCCTAGGGGATGCAAATTCATGTCCTGTGAGTGGATACATATTTTTCTAAAATATTTCAAATAATGAAGCTGGTAGATGTAAATAAATAAATATACTGTTTAATAAATAAATAAATAAAAAGGGAGCATCTACTCCCTCAAATATGGGTATCCATTAAAAATAACGTTTAAGAAATAAATTAAAATATGTTGGATCAATAAATGAAATATATATATGTATGTATATATTATACAAAATTATATTTTTTAACAAAGCTAAGCTCTCTTGCTTTGGATTGCAACCAGACTAGGAAATTGATTGATTGATTTATTAAAACCAAAACATATTTTTTCATTGATTTTTTTTTTTTTTTTACCTGTAAATATTATATATTAACAATTTTTGGGAGATAATGATTTTTTTAAAGATGCAAGTTCTACTAATTAATCTATAAGTAGTGAGAGAAAAGATGGATTCATACTTTTCCCAAGAATATTTCCTTATAAGTGAATGAAATGAACTTGATTGGAATTCAAACCCAGTTCTCCAGCTTTTCATTCCAAGCTGCTATCCTTTACACATCCACCCAGACTAGGAGAAGGAAATGTCTTAATTCAAACCATTGACATGAAACACAAGAAGGATATTCTTTGTAATGACCGTTCACTTCAACTAATCTTCTAACAGTGATCCTGGATCTATCCTGGATCTCAACGTGCTGGATTCTGGAGGGAATGTTGTATGTGTGAGGCTCTGGACTTGTGCAACTCCTTACTCAAATCATGGCACATGCTGTTTTTTTTGCAAGTCATCCTGACCATGGTTTATTTTCAGGGGATCTCCTCGGCCAATGACCCTCAGCTACCTAACATTTGACTGTCACTTAAAGATTCCTCGGCCTACAGGGTAGACATTTTACAATCAGTTTTCCTTTGGCAAAATTAGTTCTAACGTTGAAAATTCAATAACAACACATTACTTCAATTTCTGATTCCAATGTTTGTTGCTTGTCATCATTTGCTTTCAGTTTCTTGTCTTTCCTTCTGAAAAGTAAATCATAAGAAAACATTGAGAATAATGAGAACATGCAAATTTCGGGAAAGCAGTAATATATATGCCAAAATAATATATATATATATAAGGCACAGTGGAGTAATGGATAGTGGCTTGGATTGAGGAATCGGAGAGCCAAGTTGGAATTCCAGTCGAATCCAGTTACATTCACTTACGTGCTCATACCCTTGGGAAAGGTGTGAATCTTCTTCTTCTCTCTCCAGCTATGGGTAAATAGCAGGTCAGACTGGGTTCTATAGCCTTGGATGGCAACTGGTCTAGGAGAAGGAAAACTCTGAATTCAAAACATGCGGAGAGTTGTTTGGGGACCTTGTGGCACATAGTGCACCAGGTCTCTGTATTCGGCCCTTCAAAAAGTGTGGATGGTCCTGCATGAAACCTTCACCACTATAATCAAATCTCAAGTGCTGTTGTTGGGCTGTCAGTTTCCTAGGAACTGATCTGCTTGACCCTCATACTTCGAATTCGGTGGGAGAGTTGAATATATACATACATACACGCACACACACACACAAGGTCTGCCAAAAAATAGGAAATTTAGGAAAGGAAAAACCTGTATAGATATTGTAATACTAAATTTATTCAGACATCATCATGAGATTAATACAAGTTACCTTTGGACTCTTTGGAATCACGAGATGTTCAATATGGTGGCATTTAGCTTTCAGACATTTATTAGTATGGCCAACTACTGCTTGGACAGTGTTGGCCAAAGTGTCTAGTAGGATTGCTGCACACATTTTCAATTTCTTGTCTAAGGGCCACTAATGTAGTCAGTTTTCTGTGATATGCAACATCCTTTAGGACTTTTCGATGCTACAGCCAGCCACAAGGGTAATGCCATCTGTAGGGCCCCCAATTTTCTGTTTCAAATAAATTGGTAAATTTTTTGTTTTTTTTTCCACTTTTGGGGAATTTCACTTTTTCCATTTTTATAGTATTTTATGAGAAAATTGCAATACAATATGCTATAATTATTATTAAAACTGAAAACAAAAATATAATTCAAAGTTTTATTGCATATAAAGAAATAGCAAATATCTATAAATCTTTTTTTAAATGTTAAAATCTAAGTTCAGAAATAAATTACATGTAAAAAATAAAAAAAAATGTAATATGACTAGACAATAAAAAAATGGAATGTTATAGTGCATATCTTTGAGGTAGAATTTTTAATCGGAGCTTCCTTCTTTAAGAACACGTTCAAAACTTGAAACACATTCAAATTGTTTTTGTTTTAAGTAAAAGGATTTAGACTGATTTTTAATTATTGATTCATAATATAAAAATCACATTTAAAATATCAACAGCAAATAACTTGAATCTCAATATATGAATTAAGTCAAACGTTTTGACCAAAATTTTACAAAACAGTAATTAAACCATAATAACTGAATCTTTGAAACAAAATATCAAAAAACAAATTAGACACATTAATTCAAAATTTAAACAAAACAACTTATCCCACTTTGAAATACTGCTCAAATTTAAAATTGCTAATTTCTTAATTTGGGAATTAACACTCTGGCTCCAGAATTTGCAAAATAACATTTTCTTCTGCATAAAAAGTCATCAGGAAATTGCTCTAGCACAAATTTTAGATACTGGGGTTATTTTTTTTTTTTTTATCTCTGAGTGGAACAAGAGACCCAACTTTTGATGTTGATTCACTGCTTGATTCAGTCATCTTGGTAATTTGTTGTTTATTCATACAACTGGTTTAGATTACAAAATATAAATAAAATATTAAAAAATAATCATTGACAGTTAATATTATTAAAGGATTTTTTGTTCAATTTAAATTTGTTTACAATGGTGAAGCACTGAAGATGATGCAATTAATCCAAGAGAATCACTGTGTGACTGTAAGCTTAGACAAGTCAGTCATTTCATAGAATGGTGTTTTTGGAGAATGTTTTTTCTTTATTTCTAAATTGTATGGTAGGCACGTGATAGAATTTATTTTTTTATATTCATAAAGCAAGCTTACAAGTTGTTTAGAATCTTTTACTTGTAAATTGTGTGAGGCCTAAAGGAAATGAATTTCTTAAACTTATTGGTTTCATCTTTATCTCTCTCTCCCCCTTCCAATTTTGACATCAGCTAGTGTCTGTCTTCCATTTGCACTTTAGCAATGGATTTCGGTAGCCACAACTGAGCTGTGACCTTCTGACTTTCATTTCATTTGCAACATAGTTTCTTAGAAAAGTTATAAAATAATTGAAAATAAACTAGGCAACATATTCTCAAAAAATCGACAACCGACTTTTCATTTTTTGATGTAGACATTTTTGTTCTCAATTATTTTTCAGGTTTTATAAGGAAAATACCTACAAAGATTTGTAAAAACAAATTTTAAGGAAATAACTATATTATTGTTATATTAAAATGTTTAACAAAATTGGAAAGTTTTGAAAGAATTAAAAAAAAAATCTAATAATTAATTTGTTATTGATTATTGAAAATTACATTAAAAACTCAGATTCTATTTATGATTAACTATTCTGCAATTCCATTTGCAATTCTGTGATTTATTCCCCTACATCTGTGGAGAAAATACTACAGCAGTGTTATCAAAATTTGATAAAACTATGAAAGATAAGTTTTTGTTTTCCTGACCTGTGTATACATATTTTTGGTGGAATGTGTGTGTATGTATATATTTGTCTGACGATTACAAATTGCATGAAACTTAGGGTCACAAACTCACATCAATCCAACTAAATGTGTTAACTCTATAGTATCCCTGATATTGAGCACTTTCCAATAAGTACCGCACATTTATAATATATGAATAATATATATAAAAAATTACATACATATATATATATATATATATATATATATATTTATATAAAGGTGCAATCAATTTACAAATTCATGAATTATTCATACAAAAAACAAATACAAACGTTAATGATTTAATTGGCGAGAAATCCATCATCGCGAACAATTCAAATAATATACAAAAACCCCGAATCTGTTTATGAATGAAAAGATCCTTGTTTTTATAAATTCCTGCGGCATGAGTTCTTATTATTTTTACAAGCTTTCGTCTGTTCATACAGACATCCTCAGGTATGGAATAGATTTTGTTCTTGTTTTTTCTCTCAGTAATAAGAGGACAACGAAAATATATGTACTGTTGTAATCCGAAAAATGTCTCAGCAATATTTTTTAACCAGTGCTCATATTGCAATCTTTTGCTGTTATCATTCATGATTTTACAGAGCTCATATTGCAATTTTTGTTGTTATTATCACTTTTCTCTGGCACTCCTTATTACTGGTTCCCATATTGTATTCATTTCTATGCTTGGTTGGCTCAGGAGATTTTTGTGGCCTAGCATAAATTTATCTACTGACTAATTTGAAAATGCTTTTATCTTTTATTGACTTATTTAAATTCTTAATTATATGGGAGCACTCAACTCTTTTCTCACAAAAAAACTGAATGAAAATTAATTCATAGGTAAATCCATTGCCAGGAGAACTAACTGTAATTTTCAATTTTTCCAAGTATATTTTTGGAAGCTCTTAATGAAAAACAGAAAAAAATGTGGATCTAATATGGTTGAGTCTTGCCAAAAATATCATAGAAATTCTTTGTGGACTTTTAAAGACATTGTGTGAATAAACAAATATAGGTGAATGTCCAGTTTTGTTGGGCAGAGGGAATTTATTTAATTTTACTTGTATACATTTTTGTTTGTACAGGGTGCGTTGGATAAATTGTCAAATTGTGCAAAAAATGAAAATAACACTGAAATCTCATTTAAACAGATATATTTACCAAAATACACAAAAATATCTTGAAATACTAAAGAGTAAATTTATTCAATAAAATTACTATTGGCTTCAACTACAGCCTCCAGATGACTTTGGAATCTCTTGCATCTCTTCTGGACAGTTTCTTTGTTTAAGTTGGTGAATGCTTCCATAATCCTTGCCTTCAGTTCATCTTTGGTCTTACAAGGAATTTTGTTGGTCTCTCATTCATCTACGCCTCACACATAATCAAGGCGGTTGCAGTCTGGGAAGTTAGGTGGCCAGATGTAAGGAGTGATGTGGTCACAGAAATTGTCTGAGAGCCATGATTGGATTCTCCAGCTTGTGGGGCATGGTATAGAGTCCTGTTGCCAGGCATAGTATCTTCCAGCAGCCACCCTCTTGACTTAGGGCAGCATTATCTCCTCAAAGTACATCATGTACACCAACTTGCTGAGGCCCTCACCAGCAAATTCAGGAGTTCTTATCAGGATGATCAGAGTGAGTTTTCCGAGCTGCCATACATTTTTAATCACCATTAGACTCATCCAACTCTTTCTGAATCCTCTGCACAGTCCTCAGATTGACATGCAAACTCTCTGAATTGTTTGTATTGAAGCTTCTGGCACAAATGCCAAGCAGTACAACATGCCGTTTTCAAATTTCTGGCAGAGTGAATTGCACCATGGCGCTCTTTTTCTTACAGAATGGTACCCAACTGACACTACTATACTGAGCAATCAACAAAATCAAAGACAAACAACACACATGCGTGACATTAAAAATATAAAATGGCAATAATTTACCCATGGCACCTTGTATTCTAACTATATTTTATTATTAAATTGCCTTTTCTTTTATTTTCAGAGTTTTTGCTCCCAAATGTGCTGCTTGTGGTCAGGCCATCACTCCTGTTGAGGTAGGGTAGACTTTTAAAATACTTTTATTACTAACATAAACGTATAAGAATAATATAAATGGCTCAGATTATAGTTGTTAATAAATATCATATATATATATATATATATATATATATATATATATATATATATATATATATATATATTTATATTTGTGCTTTACTAACATAGCATAGCAAAAATGGCCCATCATAGTGTAATTTTTGTTTGCACAAGACTTAAAATGATCCAACTTAAAGAATAAAGCTCTTTTCAACCCAATTAGGCCATTAAGTTTTTATTAATTTTTAATTTATTAAGTATTAGTTGACCAACAAATGACCAAGGAATAAAGAATTCTTGCTGCTTAATGATTTACAAATAATTATAATCAATTCACTTAACAGAAAAATACTTGATGTCAAAAGGAAGCTGACGATAGTGGCATTTAAGTAGGTGCTTATTAAAAGAAAAGAAAATAATTACAGTTTGAAGAACTATTTAAATTGACAAAGTCTATTCAAGTGTTTTTTTTTTTTGTATTCTGTTCATTGATTAATTGATTGGTTTATTTTCTGTGGTTTATCAACCCTTTGCAGGTTATTTAAAGGCAGAAAATACTTTCAGTGTGTAAGATTTTTTTTTTCTTGAGATAATAAAAGTTTAGTGATACAAATCTTTATAATTAACCCATAGCTGGGGGAGAAGAGGTGGATTCATACCTTTCCAAAGGGTATTTCTGTGTAACGAACCCAACAGGAATTGGAACTCTATTCTCTGATTAACAATTCCAAGCCATTATCTATTATATTACATCACCACACATCCAAGCTTACAGTACCTGGTATTTCCAAGAGGTCACCCATTGAGTTACTGACCAGGCTCGTCATGCTTAACTTTGGTGATTGTACAGGAACTGGTGTTTAAACATGATGTATCTGTAAGCCTGTATTCAGCTTAGAATGCTAATCACTTTAGTGTAGTATATGATAGTTTATGGTTGATTTTATTCAAATTTTAACTGCTGTCATGGAATCTATACCATAATGTCAGGAGTTGTATGTGTGAAATTTGTCACACTCCAGGGATAGTTTGCATATTAAAGGCAAAATCTGCTCTGAAGAGTGCCATTAAATATCCCAAGTGGCTCTCTTGACCATCACAGTGTTGTGACAGAAGTGGAATTCTGGTTAGAAACACATATTTCTGTCTTTCTGTTGAAGTTAAAGATTCCCAGATCTCAGTGTCTTGGGACCATATTTGCTTTGACCTGTGCTGTAGATGCTATACAGTCTGTGAACACTGCTTTTACAATGCATTTGCCCATGATGAGTGTCTGTATAGTCATCCGGAACCTGGTCTATGGATGTAAGAATATTCTGCATTATGTAGCCATCCAGAACCCGGTCTATGGCTGTAAGAATGTTCTGCATTATGTATCCATCCAGAACCTGGTCTATGGCTGTAAGAATGTTCTGCATTATGTAGCCATCCAGAAGTTGGTTTACCGATATGGGAATGTTCTGTGCGGTCATCCAGAACCTAGTTTATAGATGTAATATGTTTATTCGACCACCACTACCAACATCCAAACACCACTGAACATCAAATGCAACATATGTAACAATTCTCCAAAATGACTATCAATCTTTCAATGGTTACATCTGACCACTCTCTAACAGAACAAAAAAATAGGGTGCATCTCTGGATCATAATACTTGTGCTGAACTCTCACTTTCATAGCATGAGTTACTGTTTAAAGCTTAGGCACTGCACTAGTATGAGTGTTATGTCGCATGATGGCTGGAGACTGACACTTTTATCAGAATATCTACTTGTTATCAGTGCAGCAAAAGGGAACTGGTGAGCCGAATTTAAATTCCAGCCTAGGCTATTACATTCACTTTCACACTAATACCCTTATGAATCCATTTCTTCTCTCCCCAGCTGTTGGTTAAATAATAAGGTAGACCGGGTCTCTAGCCTTGGATGCCAGCCAGTCTAGTTGAAAGACAACTCTGAATTCAAAACAGTGGAGAAGGCAGTGGGATATCATTCTGTTAGCTTCCCCAAAAAGTCATTGTAATTCATAGATAATAAAGAAAGAGAATCTGTGGAGAGTCATGGTCACTTATGTCTTGAAGGAACATGGCGTTTAAAAAAAAAAAAAAAACACAGAAATAACTTTTTGCATTCTATACAATAACCAAGTCAAAATTGGTTGCATCCTTTGAGGTGGTGAAATTTTATTTTCTGTCATTTTCATATAAAGTCATATAATATTGTATATTATAGAATATAATCTATATAATAAAGGCAAATGTCAGTGTGTCAGTGTGTCACTTTTTTTTCAACTTTACTCCTAGAGGCCGTAGTTCTACATATTATACCATTTTAAAATCAGGCTGACTCCATGAGCAAATTAAAAATATTCCAGGCTGGATCCAGACCTGCAATCCTGAAAGTTTTCATTACTGCAATTGTTTTGGGAGATTTTTTTTCTATGTGATTTTTTGCTACAAATTTTTTGTATGATAACAATTTTTATAACTTGGAAATAAATTTGGGACTAATTGAAATTAACTGTGAAATCCAGCGAAAGTCACCCATGAAATAAAAATAATTGTTTGTATGGAAAGTAAGGACCTACGTACATCAAACTGTCTTCAAATTAAGTGGCGGCAGAAGAATTATCATTGAACTTTTAAAAGTAAGCTTAAATATTAATGCAATACTTAAATGCAGTGATTAATTTTGATTCTTTTTGTAGTTTATTGTTGCCTATTGCATCTACTCCTCCCTACTAATTGTGATGAAGGTCCAATCAAGATCCCTCTGAAGGAGCTAGCTTAAATTCTATCCAATAGGGCTGCTTTTGAGCTAGTAGATAATAAATAAAAGAAATCTTTGGAGAGCTATGATTGCTTATGTCTTGAATGGATGGACATAGCATTAAAAATACTTTTAAAAAAAAAAAAGGCTGAACTTTGGCATATTCCATATTAAAATGTGGACATGATGTCTGCCATAATAATGCTTCACATGTTAACTTACCATTTTTATTGATTTTGATTCTTATGTTGGGCATATAAATGCTGTAGAATGTTGGTAAAGCTAAGCTTAAATGCCACATTATCAAGCAGCTTTTAAGCTAGTATATAATTTTGTTTTTGCAGATTGAATTTATATTTGTACAGAGGATTTTAAGTATTTATTAGAGGATCATATTGACACTTTTGTATAAGTAAATAAAACACTTGCTTACTATTTACTAATGTAAAAAAGAAACCTTAGAATACTAAAAAACTCATGCAGACGACGATTGGTTTACATATGGCCTATTGTTTTTATTTTTGTTGTTGTTGTTATCACAATTTTTGAGCATTGCACCCTTTGGCTTTCTTCAGGTGATTGTTGATCCCCAGGGTAACCATTAGAAAAAAATTGTTATATTTGTTGATTTAAGAAAAAAATACTTTTCTGATGTTTGATTTTGTCACTTATTGAATGTTGATAAAGTACATTTGGTATTATTTTTCAGGGAACTGAAGAAACAGTTCGTGTTGTGTCAATGGATAAAGATTTCCATGTGGATTGCTACCATTGTGAGGTGAGGTTCTCTCTTTTTTTTTCTTTTTTTCCTTTCTTTTTTTTTTCTTTTTTCTTTTCTTTGCTTTTTTTTTCTTTTTAAAATCATTGATTTCAAGAACCGAAACAATAGAAATAAATTCTCCCATCTGATTAAGATATAACTTTTTTTTTTTTTTCAATACTAAGGTGCTAGGGCTCTAATTGATTAATTTGTTTTTTATGGTTTATCAACCTTTAGATTATTTAAAGCCATAAAATATTTTTAGATTGTAAGAATTTTTGGGAGATAATGATTTTTAGTGATAGAAATTCTACTAATTAACCCATAGCTGGGGGAGAAGAGGTGGATTCATACCTTTTCCAAGGCTATTTGTGTATAAGGGGATACAATGAATCTGACTTGAATTCCAACTCAGCTCAATGATTTCTTATTCTGAACTACTATTCATTAAACCTCTCACACAGCCAAGCTTACAGCACCTGGCTCAATGTTGCTCAACTTCAGTGATCTTATGAGAACTGATGTTTCGACATGATATGGCCATAAACTGGGGAGTTTGTTGTAGGATGCTTGTTTGTTTGGGTAAACATTAGTGACCATTATGTTGTGGAAATCAACAAACTCAACTGGAAATTGAAATCAACTCATATTTCTCATTCTAAGCTACTATTTATTCATTACACAACCAGGCAACCACCTTATTTTTAAGGTAACTCAAATTCAAATTGTATTTAAATAATTATTCAATTTGTTAGTTATCTACACCTCTGTTAACCCCTTTGTACTATATATATATATATATAGTGTAACCTTGGATATAAGAGAGATTTTCTCTGGTCCCAAATTAGAGCCCATACTTACCTAAACAAAATAGACCAAACCCGGATATAAGAGACTTTTCTCCGTCCTGACAACTCTCTTATATCCGGGTTACACTGTGTGTGTGTGTGTATATATATATATATATATATATATATATATATATATATATATATCCTGATAGGATTCTAGAGCAGGCTCTATAGTAGTCATTTTTTATTGATGAATATTTGGTATTAGTTGCCAATAAATCATCCATATTGTGTTTCAATAGCTGATCCATCTGGAATAAGTTAAAGAATTCTTGAATTAAAATCTATCCTCCATAGAATATGGTTTTGTATAAGATAGAAATTATCTATCTTGCTGAATGAGAATCATGATAAAATGGACAAAGGGTAAATCCTGATTCCTCTGTTTCTTTAAACTGTGTTTGGCATTTCTATAGAAATGTGCCTTCTACAGGGTGAATATTATTGGAAAAAAACAAAGAACAGAGATGTATACAGTCTAATAGATAAAGGGAGGAAGAATGATGCATTTCATCAAGAAATAATCACCTTATTTCAATTTTTTTATATTACTGTTGATAAAAATGTGGGTCCAGCTTGCTGTGTAAATTAACTGTAAATTGATCCTTCCTACACAAGTCAAAAAACAAAATACGCTCAAACCATATGATGCCCTCCTGCTCCTGGTTTAAAAAAAAACACAGGTTTACAGTTTGTGATTTATGATGACCATTAATAATTAAGTATAACTCATGACTTCAATGTTAAGATAAAACAGTATTTAATTAGAACCACAAATAAATACTTAACAAGAACAAAGAAGTAAAAGTCAACCAAAGATAATTAACCATTTCAGTGAATACCTTGTTAGTAGAGCGGCTTGGCTTAACGTCCGGTAAGTTCTAAATCAAAACCCAACTCATTGACACACAATAAATCACACTAATTCAACTGGATAGTTCCACTCAATAGTCACTCAATAATCACTACAGTCAGTAGCCTGACACCGCTATTTATACACCTTATGGAAAACATATATTCAATATATATTAAGTCCAGAGTGTCACACTCGAACCTCAGAGTCAGTAGTTACTCATTTTCTTCCTGTATGACACAGTCACATCACATTGAAATACTGGTTCCATTATGATCACCAAAGTTAAGCAACATTGAGCATGGTCAGTATCTAGATGGATGACTGCTTGGGAATACCAGGTGATGTAATGGATAACAGTTCATACTTGTTAATTAGAGAGCTGAGTTCCAATTTCTATTGGGTTCGTTAAATTCACTTATGCACAAATACTCTTGGGAATGGTAGGAATCTACCTCTTCTTCCCCCAGCTATGGGTTAATTAGTAAGACTTGTTTTACTAAACCATTATTATCTCCCACCAAAATTATTACAATTTAAAAATATTATCAAGCTTTAAATAACCTGCAAAGGGTTAATAAGTGATAGAAAACAAATCGATCGATAAAAAAAAAAAACAGCTAGAATATACAAATTTAAAACATATTTTTACTTACTTGAAACCATGAGCAGGAGAATATCCCATATTTTGTTTTTGTCCGTAGGAGGATCAATTTACAATGAATTTACATGGCAAACTGAAGCCCCGCCCCCTAAAATTTAGGAAATATTTTGAAGTAAAGAAAACAATTATTTCTTGGCGAGGTGTGTTTATTTATGAAAAACTTGTATTCTCTTAAATAAAGCTGCTTTCAGATTATGACCCCTGTTTGTTTCAATTGTAGCAGAACCTTTGTAAATATTAAGCACAGAATGTCCAACAAATATATTTATAAATATGTTCATTCCTATACAAGGACCAAGAGCCACTTGTGGTAAAGAGTTATAGTATAAGAAGCACAGTTTATTGGTGTATGTGAGCAACCTTAGACTTGAACAGATTAAGAGATTGGGGAAGTATTCTCTTGGGAGTCAGTTCCATAAAACAGCAGTTCATGAGAAGATGTCCAAGAATGTTTAAATGCAGACAAATAGACCATTTGCTTAATGCATGCCCAAAAGTAATGAATTTGATGTGTAATTTTAAAAAAAAAGTTTCATCATCATCATGAGTCCTTTGAGTGTGGTTGTAGGTTTGCTGAGCACCTGACCTGTACCCTCTACATATCTGGATTGAAAGCTGGAGAACAATTCATTCATGCGTCGTATGTCTTGGGCAAGTATACATGACCATGACGGAGCCCACCCCTCTTCAGGTCAAACCACATCCAATGTCCTCCAAATTGAAGGCTTGCCTTAGCCACAGATATACAGCCCGTTGATTTCATTGGTGAAAGTTTCTGCTCTGGCTACTGACTTCAGTCTAGGAAACCCTCCACCCAGTAATGTCATATCCTCACTGCATTGGCTGCATCCATAGCTATAGAGCTGTCTACCCCATTATGTTAAATGGCCATTGACCATACAAGAAGTTTCATCCACTTTTTGACAGGACTTGTTTTTAATCTTGCAGGGTATTTAGCCATCCTCTCATCAGAAATAGACATGGGTATTGCAATAATCCTCTGATTGAGAGATTGGTGGTTTTGAGGAGAGTGGAACCAACTCTTAATTGCTACTGTTGCTAGATCTACCCTGATCTGGGGTGGTAGCACCTGTTAGGGTCCTATGGGCGAATAGTGACACCCTCCCCCAATCAAAAATAAAACACTATAAAAGTATAAAAATACATTTATAGTGAAATGACCAGCAATACATTTTATATCAAAATGACCAACAATACATTTTATCTGTTGTTGATGACATACAATTGTGTTCAAAATATATTTAGTTAAAGCCATAAAATTGTAATCAAGATATTTAGATTTTGCAATTAAATAACCCATAGAGATGTTGATATGTTGCTAATCAAAATCAACCAACTACCGTGTATTTAATTGTGAAAACAGAAAAACATACATAATAATTTTATTAAATCCAAGCTCCCAAGAAAATTAAATTTTGGCATTAAATGACCCATAAGGAGTTGATGTGCCATTAAAAAAAACAAATCAGTCAATCTCACCAGAAAATCTGGTCAGAGAACTGGTTTAGTTGCTGATGATCTGACAAGTAGTACTCAGTCAAATTGTACCAGTAGTACTTTACATTGTTCGGATTGTTATCCTCACCTTTATTGCCATATTTGCTTGAAGAAAGCCAGAGCATACAATGGCCGAAACATTGTGAATATGTCAATAAAGATAGGGACAACAGTTCAAACATTGTAAATAGTGTAAATATTTACAATACCTTATCTCAGAAATATAGACAGTAGTATTTGTAGAGTGACTTGACATTGGTGTCATTAGTGTTTTATTATCATATCATTATATCCTTTAATATCTGTTAGAAATAAATTTTAAAAATTTTCGTTTTTTATATAATTTAAGAAAAAAAATAGTTTGGTTTGATCATAATGGAAATTTGCCTCTTTAGCCTTCCTAACACAAAAGTTTATTTTCTACTTTGCAGGTGAATTGGATAATATAAGAATTTAATTTAAATAGGTCAGCTATTTCTTTTTTCAGTTGGTTCTTTGAAATTAATACATTTTTAATGTGTCATTCTCTAAACTAATTTTTGTTTTATTTTAAATGAAAGTTTTTATATGGCGAAAAAAAAAAAATCAAAGAATTTTATCTGAGGGTGTTGATCTACATTTTGTCTACAGTAGAAAAGAAGGTATTGATTTGGAATTCAAGATTTTCTTGCATATCAAAATGCAGTAAGTTGATCGTGACATGGATGGTGGGGTAAGACTAGGTTTAAAATATTTTCCTTGTAAATATTATTTCAAGTAATGAAATTAAATCTATTAAAATAATGATGTTTAATAATGATACATGAAATTAGAAATAAATCAATATTTAAAAGAACTTAAAATTTAATAATTTATTTTAAACTTTATAAATTGTACGCCTGTTGCTGTTTTATTTTTGTTTTTGTTTTTTAATCCCTTGGTAGAGTGTAATCTCTTTTTAAAAGAAAATATTTGCTGTTAAATATTTTTTTTAAAAGTGTATAAAAATGTAACTTGTCTTCCTTTTTATTTCTGTTTATACACTGAAATATTGTAAACAGTATTTATTTGGCAATCTCAGTGTGTATCAAAAACATTTTGAGGGAAAATAATTTATTGTAATGTATAAGGGTTGCTCTGAAAGTAATGCCTCATATTTTATTATGTTAGTGGCATGGGAATAGGAGGTTGAACATTCCAATAATCATTTTTTTTTTCTTTGTTACAATTGGCATCATGAAAGTGTGTACAAAGCAGGGGTAAATCATTGAATTTCTCCATATGGGAAAAATTTGAATTCAGTGATATTGCTTGCTAAAAGTTTATGGAGACCAAATAGTGGATGTGAGCACAGTTAGGTGATGTATTTCAGCAGTTGTGATAGTGATGTATGTAGCAAGCCACAATCTAGTCACTAGATTCTAGTGTCCCTGTGTAACTGTCAAGTGTCAACCCATGAAATGAAGAGCTTTTGTTCCTTATTGGCTCAAACTGTTTAGCCAGTGGTACTGTGTGAAAAAAAAAAAACATAGTTTTGTAGCTGAAAACTGGCTCTGTTCAACGGTTTGTCCTCCCCATATCTGTTGTTGTTTCCATAGAAATTCATTGGAGGCATTACTTTCGAAGCGTCTCGTCAGAATCTATTTTTAGAATAACAAATCAAATAAATAAATAAATAAAAACAATAAAATGAAGAAATCGATTTGCAATGTGTTTTATTGAATAATAAAAAAAAAATAGATTTATTTTATTTTAAAAGATGAATGTTGAAGACGTTTAGAAAGTAATGCTAAAGATATTTTTTTCTGGAAAATATTTAAAAAAAAAAAACTTCATAGCTTTAAGAGATTGCTATATTTTAGTTATGTTTTATGTCATTTGTTATTTTTCACAGCTTTCAAGTCAGAAGTAAACAGTAAGAATTTTTGTTCTGCGTTGTTCTTCGCATGAAAACTATAATTCTTGAAGTTTCTGGCGTTTAGGGGCGACAATTCTTGACAGCTCTTCTTTTTTTTTTTTCGCTCTCCCTAATGCCAGCTGATTAATAAAACTTGGTTATTTCCCTTTGCTTCATATTCAAAGCAATACAAATACTCAACAAACATACACAAGCTCTCGCTCGCTCGTTCTCTTTCTCTCTCTCTCTCACACACACACCACCACCACCACCACCAACAACTACTACTACTTTTTAAAGTTATTTTTATTGATTATTCTTGGCTTTAAGCTTCTTTCTTGATTCCTGGCATCTCTCAGCAAGGTCAGACGTTTATTAAAATAAAAAGAAGCTCTTTGGTGTATAAAAAGAAAAACGGATAAACAAAAAAAAAGTTTTTAAAAGATTACTACTATATAGTTTTATTCAATTTAAAGGTGTCATGTCCTAAAAATAAGTATTTTTATTTAACCTAAAATTTTAATCCATGGTAATAAATCAAATATTGACTAACTAAATATACAATTTTAGAAGCTATGTGATTTAAGCTGATGGTGTTTGCACAGTAATGCTATTTTTATTACTCCAAACATTATTTTTAGACAGTGGATACCCATGTTTGAAATAGACGCCACGTTTTTATTTTTTATTTTAGACAGTGTATGTTTATCAGCCTTGCACGCTTAAAACTTAAGAAAGAAAATGTGGCCTCCAGCATTTTTTTTTTTTAGTTCAATAGAACTATACAAACTGATTTTAAAAAAAACGGGGTGTCTATTTCAGACCGGGATATCCATTAAAAAAACAAATGTTTGAAATAATAAGAATACTGGATTAAAAAGACTAATGTTAGATATGCATGTTGCTGTGGGTTTAAAATTGTAGTCTGTTTGCACTAGAAATATTTTTACTCCATGAATTCAGATGTCCGTTTAGAATGTTCTCATTTTTCTCCATCCTAACAAAAATTAAATAAATTACTAATAAATATTTACTATCTACAATTAGTTTCATATGAATACTTTCTCAGCAGTAAAATATATTCAACTATTTAGGAAATACAGTAAACCTTTTGTTATAGAAATTATTTCTTGTTCCAAAAAGAGAAACCTTCCTTAGCTTTATTAATCTAAATATTTTTCTTCAGTCAAAACTGGCTAGCTAAATTTGTAACTGTAATCAGAAATGAACATGCAATAATTTTGTAGCTATGACTGAAAAGCTTAATAACTTGATAAATGTTTTGAATACC